TATTGTATTGATGACATTATGAACATGGTGTGATTCTGTAACAGCTGGCAAAGTCACTGTCTTTTGTTTAGATTTCGTACAAGCCTCTCAGACTGATGTTTAAAGAACATTCAGTACTCTCTGATTAGAATAGAAAGGGCCTGTCTCCAAGTGGCCCGTTAGATATGTTCTTTGCTTTCTGGAGGTGTTCTCCCTGAATTATTGTAATAAACCGGATTGATTTTTGATTGATATTATCAACGACTGCTCTCCTTTTGGTCCACCTGAAAATTCCCTTTACACATGTTGTCCCTATATGACTAATTAAGGTTATGAATTTGTGTGACATGGAAAATAAGTGATATCCTATATTTATTTTTAGGAAGGTGATCATCAGTCATTGACTGGCCATAGAGACATGCATCATTAGACAAAGGGTAGCTCTATGCACAGGAAGGTATGGTTAACAGTCTTGCAGTATTAGATATGGTAAATGCTAGAGGAAATGCATTTGTTGTCCATATGGTATCTGACAGTGTTTGCCTGCAGAGCACAGATGTCAGGACTGCAGTGAAATGTATCTAAAATAATGTAATATTATCAGATAAAGTGTATCTGCCAGAGATATTGCATGGACATTCCACAAAACAGATACTGTATACAATTATTGTTTCCAGGGGCTTGGACATTTTTATGAAAAACAAAGATGTTGGTGTACCAAATAGATTTAGGAGGAACTGAATGCAGCTGTGCACTTGGCCTTTTCTCTTATAAGGAAAGCACATACAAATGTATGAAAAAGGCATGTCTGAAATGTGTATTTTGTCTGCATATTATTAGCACCTTCTTGTACAGTACAGGCATTCTGAGTGTGCACATGCCTCCTACACATAGATCTGTGAGCTAGCACTGCAGAATATCTAAGTGTGTGGGAGTAGAAAAACAAGATGAGTCTGAATAGACAGATTATAGTCAGCCTCAGACAAAGAAATACATTCAAACGACTGTCTGTTAATGAATATCCAATTATTCATACACATACTGACGTTTAAGTGAACACACAGGGTCTCTCAGACATTTATAATCCTCTGAGGAGATACTGTATGGCTAAACACAGAATGAAAAACAATATCCTCCTTTTACAGTGTGTTGTTTATCATGATGGTAGGCTATACTGTATTTGAATGACACTTGTTTTGTAACTCTACTGTTAGAAGTGGTTTGCAGGTGTGCTGACAAGCTTGTAGCTTGATATAACAGCAAGTCCAATTATCAGAGATGTCTGTTGGGGAACGGCCAAACATGAAGCACTCTGACAACATACAGGGACATTAAAGTAAACAAATGAATTAATGCTAGCAGAAAAAACATCTTCAGCAGATATCCTAGTTGTTTGTGAAGCAGCTGTGCCAAGAGGACAATGAAGACATGTAGTCTAACTAGCACCTCTCTCTCTGGAGAACAACACCTTTGATATTATGGTATTCAGTTTTGTGAAATGACCGTTATAAACATAAAGTCCATAATTGTCCAGGAAACTAATCACTCCTGTGTGTAACCTTTTCATGGAGCTGAACATAGGAAGTATAACTCTCGTTAGTCATCGCTCCATCCGAGGCAACATCTTTTCAATTATCTTCCCATCATCCATCACAAATTTCTGCTGAATGGGAACTTTATTTTAATTACATGCATGCTAGGGCCCCGTGTAGCTCAGTTGGTAGAGCATGGCGCTTGCAACGCCAGGGTTGTGAGTTTGTTTCCCACGGGGGGCCAGTATGAAAATGTATTCACTCACTAACTGTAAGTTTCTCTGGATAAGAGCGTCTGCTAAATGACTAAAATGTAAAATGTAGTAAATCATGGCGTGTTCATTTGTCTTCACAAAAGCCCAGCATGTAAAAAATAATCTTACATAAACACCTGAATATTTTGTTTCTCATTTGTTACTTTGTGATATCATGGAAATCACCACCAGGGACTCAAAGTCAAACTTAAATGAATCATTCTTTGTTATCAGCAAGCTGGAGAGGTTCCAACAAAATTAATGCACCATAGTACACATCGGTCGGCAGCTCTCCAGGGGCAGTCCAGTGACTTTCAACGTGGCACCGTCATCGGATGCCACCTTTCCAACAAGTCCGTTTTTCAAATTTCTGCCCTGCTAGAGCTGCCCCGGTCAAATGTAAGTGCTGTTACTGTGAAGTGGAAACATCTAGGAGCAACAATGGCTCATCCACGAAGTGATAAGCCACACAAGCTCACAGAACTGGACCGCCGATTGTTGAAGTGCCTAAAAATCACATGTCCTCGGTTGCAAAACTCGCTACCTAGTTCCAAACTGCCTCTGGAAGCAACGTCAGCACAATAACTGTTTGTCGGGAGCTTCATGAAATGGGTTTCCATGGCCGAGCAGGCGCACAAAAGCCTAAGATTACCATGCCCAATGCCAAGCGTTGGCTGGTGTGATGTAAACCTTGCAGCCATTGGACTGTGGAGCAGTGAAAACGCGTTCCCTGGAGTGATAAATCACACTTCACCATCTGGCAGTCTGATGAACGAATCTGGGTTTGCGGATGCCAGGAGAACGCTACCTGCCAAAATGCATAGTGCTAACTGTAAAGTTTGGTGGAGGAGGAAAAATGGTCTGCGGCTGTTTTTAATGGTTAGGGCCAGGCCCCTTAGTTCCAGTGAAGGGAAATCAACTGCATACAATGACATTCTAGATGAGTCGGTGCTTCCAACTTTGTGGCAACAGTTTGGGGAAGGCCCACAAAGCGAGGTCTATACAGAAATGGTTTGTCAATCTTTGTGGAAGAACTTGACGGGCCAGCACAGAGCCCTGACCTCAACCCCATCAAACACCTTTGGGATAAATTGGAACGCCGACTCCGAGCCAGGCCTAATAGCCCAACATTAGTGCCCGACCTCACTAATGTTTGTGGCTGAATGGAAGCTGAATCTTCCAACATACTAGTGGAAAGCCTTCCCAGAAGAGTGGAGGCCGTTATCACAGCAAAGGGGGACCAAATCCATGTTAATGCCCATGATTTTGGAATGAGATGTTTGACGAGCAGGTGTCCACATACTTTAGTGTATGTGTGTGTGTGTATGCATTCGGAAAGTATTCAGACCCGTTGACTTTTTCCACATTTTGTTACGTTGATTTTTTTCCCTCAATCTACACACCATACTCCATAATGACAAAGCAAAAATAGGTTTGTAGAAATGTTTGCAAGTTTATTAAAAATAAAAAACTGAAATATCGCAAGTATTCAGACCCTTTACTCAGTACTTTGTTGAAGCACCTTTGTAGCAATTACAGTCAAGTCTTTTTGGGTATGACGTTACAAGTTTCTGACATAACATTTTTTTTTAAACTGTTTTCGCTTTGTCATTATGGGGTATTGTGTGTAGATTGATGAGGATTTTTGTTAATTTAATACATTTTAGAATAAGGTTGTAACGTAACAAAGTGTGGAAAGTCAAGAGGTCTGAATACTTTCTGAATGCACTGTATTTGTCCTCAGCTCTCTACATATAGAAAGGCCTCCTTAAGTGAAGGATTTCCGAACATACGCTTGCACCAGACTGCAGACTATGGCTTTGCTCCCAACCTGCATATGAAGAACACATTCATGGCCGTTGCTATGGATTTAGGAGATGAAATGTCTCCTTATGACAAGTTAGTAACATAGTCATAGAATGGATACCACAGTATTCGATAGGCCTGTACTCTTCTAAAGTGTTAGGCAGCTCACATTTGAATAATGGGAGAACACAAGGCTATGTTCCAATATCGATACTAGCATACCACTTAGGATGCATGCATTGCTTCATTCTAAGTGGTATGCTAATGTGGGTATTGGAATGTGGAAAAATAGGTTTCCCGGTGACTTTATGTTCCAGTATCCATCCCTGGGACAAGCAGGAAGTGGCCTACACACTGTGTCTAGGGGCGAGAGCTGTGGCTTACGGGGAGAAGGGCATCTCATTCCTAGGTATCAATGTTACCTATGACCAGACAGTGTCTGTCACTCAATCCAAAGATATCTTTCAGGTAAGTCTGATGGCTGCAGTTGTAATGTGTACTAAGGTATGTTGTAGCAGGTATCCTAGTGGTTAAAGTGTTGGGCTGGTAACCAAAAGGTTGCTGGTTTGAATTCCTGATCGGACAAGGTGAAAAATCTGTCGATTTGCCCTTGAGCAAGGCACTTAACCCTCATTTGCTCCAGTGGCACCGTACTACTATGGCTGACCCTGTAAAACAACACATTTCATTGCACCTGTCCAGTGTATGTGACAGTACAACATATTATTATTGTAGTGTTTCTACCGACCATGAACTGGATTAACTGGGTCCGAATTCTTTCTTTGTTACTGTGTCACCAGCTCAGCATGTTGTCATGCAGGCTTTTCCACCTTGCTAAAAGAAAAGGGTCAGACGAAACCATGTCTTAACCAGACTGTTTCTTCCTCAGTGGTGAGGGCACCCTGTGACTCTCTGTCACTATGGGTTCCAGCTCCCATACTGCAGTGGGGCGTTAGAACCGTCCAAGTGTCCACCACTAACTGTTCCATAAACAATGTAGCCGGCCTGCGCTATGCATGGAGGGACTGGCCTTGTGACTTTAAGGCATGTCCTGTTTACAGTGCTGATGGGGTTCTACCTGCACCTCCCTTCACTCTCAACCTCTGGCCAGGCAAGGAGTGAGACAAGAACCCCCTTCTCCTAGGAATGGATTATTCCACCCAAATATGGTGTGGTGGTTAACAAGCTGCACTAGTGTCAAGATAGGAAATTAAATGCTAACTGCTTCCTCTTGAGGCATCAGTGTGAAACTGCTGGTAGTCTTATCAGTGTGTGCATCTTTACATTCTGAACATTATCTATAAAACCAATCACCTCTTTGGCTTGTTTACAATTGTACTGAAGCTGAATTTTAGTTACCCTGTGGTAAATGTGTTTTTGAATGATACGATATGAGCAATGACTGTCAATCATGTTATTACCTTATTTGATGATCAATGATAGTAAAATGAAAGAAATTAGGTTTTTTTTATTGAAATGCCAAGCGTAGTCCATCTACATTGTCCACCTAATCATCTATAGTACTAACTACACAGTGGTACAGGGGCCAACTTGAAGGTGCCCTACACAAAGAGACCTGCAGAGGACGGTTAGATCAACTGTTTTTTTTCACATGATAACAACAATTGGTCCTTTAAATGGAAGAGAACATGATTCTGTAGTCTCTACTTTTCCTGGTTCTTTTTTTAGAACCGGCTGAATGTCAGTGCCGAAGCAACTGGTCCTGTAACATGAGTTCCCTGGAGACGCCTGTGTGGAGGTTTTCTAGACCAGTGGTGTAGTGGAGGGTAAATGCCATTTAATTTATTTTGCACAAGCATTTACCCACCTATCATGGATAAACGCATGAAATATAGGGAGCGTTACTTTATTCACAGCGAACGGTGATCAGCGTTTACCCACTTATTTTTCTACCACTACTTTACTGGTCTGGAGGTTGCAGAGAAATGGATCAGGGGCTGAAGTAAGATGTAGAGGAAGATGGCTGCAGGGTGGGTGAGCTCAGAAGATGCTGGTGAGAGGAACCAGGGGACTGTGGAGTCAGACCTGGGGAAAGAAGATGGATTGAGTGGTTGAAATCAGATCTTGACTCAGTGTATAGCTGACCCATAATACCATTGCTCTCTATTTCCGCTGGCTTTCAACTTCGGACAACAAGAATAACAAACAAAGGCCATTATTGGCTAAGTGCTGAGCCTAGGGGGTACAGGTAGGTAGAGAAAGAGCCTAGGGGGTACAGGTAGGTAGAGAAAGAGCCTAGGGGGTACAAGTAGGTAGAGAAAGAGCCTAGGGGGTTCAGGTAGGTAGAGAAAGAGCCTAGGGGGTACAGGTAGGTAGAGAAAGAGCCTAGGGGATACAGGTAGGTAGAGAAAGAGCCTAGGGGGTACAGGTAGGTAGAGAAAGAGCCTAGGGGGTACAGGTAGGTAGAGAAAGAGCCTAGGCGGTACAGGTAGGTAGAGAAAGAGCCTAGGCGGTACAGGTAGGTAGAGAAAGAGCCTAGGCGGTACAGGTAGGTAGAGAAAGAGCCTAGGCGGTACAGGTAGGTAGAGAAAGAGCCTAGGCGGTACAGGTAGGTAGAGAAAGAGCCTAGGCGGTACAGGTAGGTAGAGAAAGAGCCTAGGCGGTACAGGTAGGTAGAGAAAGAGCCTAGGCGGTACAGGTAGGTAGAGAAAGAGCCTAGGCGGTACAGGTAAGTAGAGAAAGAGCCTAGGGGGTACAGGTAGGTAGAGAAAGAGCCTAGGGGGTACAGGTAGGTAGAGAAAAAGCCTAGGGGGTACAGGTAGGTAGAGAAAGAGCCTAGGGGGTACAGGTAGGTAGAGAAAGAGCCTAGGGGGTACAGGTAGGTAGAGAAAGAGCCTAGGGGGTACAGGTAGGTAGAGAAAGAGCCTAGGCGGTACAGGTAGGTAGAGAAAGAGCCTAGGCGGTACAGGTAGGTAGAGAAAGAGCCTAGGGGGTACAGGTAGGTAGAGAAAGTCTGTGGCAAACTGCTCTGCCTCACCTACTAGATTGTGCTCCACCCTGATGCTGTCATCAAAGCCCTGGTGTCTCTGGTAGGCCTCAAAGTTGACCGAGGCATCGTCCTCAGACAGGCTGTGTGGAACCTGGCCATCGCCTGGACGACACACCTCGAAACGGATCCACTGATAACTGTACAGGGACATATCACACCAATAAGCAACACATAAGTCATTCAGCTACACGTACTTTAGCAGATATGAGAGAGCATATTAAGGTCAGTTCCTCTGAATTCAGGAAATGGACCAATTGCAATCTCCACAAAGATAATGTGCAATGTTCAACTCATTTCCTGTGAGGTAGCTGACATTATACTTCAGTCCTAGAGACGCACTTGCTGCACTTGCGTGCTCCTGGGCAGCTCTGGATCAGGTTCTGGATGGTGGGGTGGGAGAAGCCAAAGAAGTCTGCTCCTGAAGGCACGATGGGGGCCACCGGTTTAGACCTGTAGGGGTATAGATGTAAGATAATGCGAGAAAAGTAATACAATGAAATGCATCCACTGATTCTATAAGCCAGTCTGTACAGCAAGCAGGTACCTTAGTGCACCAATGGCCTTCAGCAGGTTGGAATGGCAGGTGAGGGCAGAGGAGGCAGCTATGGCATTCTGAGGGTCTTCCTCAGGCACTATCTCAAACTGGGGGGAAAAGAGATGGTTTGATAAGGAAAACACTCCTCGCAAGCATGTTCATAAGCTGTCTCACAGCACCCAATTGACTTACTTAGCACTTGACTTCATAATGTTTTATAACTCCATTAGTGCGAGTGTACCTGTGGGCCACCACCCCCGTCCTTAATCTGGCAGGTGTAGAGGCACTGCTGATCTGGGCTCTTCATGCTGGCGAAGAAGCGTGTGCTGCAGAAGCCCACTGGGTAGATGGCACACTGGTCATGGAACAGCATCCTGTCTGTGATGATCTGGAACAGGGAAGGACATCATTCATTATTCTCTAGCCACTGATCTGAGAACAGTCATGGGCTGTGTCCCAACAGTCTTAAATAGCATCTCCTGGTCTCCTTTCATGGACCCTGATTCTGACCGACATGATAAGGGAGGGCAATATGGTGCAAATCTGTTCAGTACTTTCAACTGAGAGTGGTCATGCAAGTGAGGAGACAATGTAAGATAATTTGGACAGTGTTTATACAGAGCAAATGTGAGGCATAAGTATGAGTTGGGACACAGACCTCCCCTAGACTGTACACAGTCAGACCTCCAAGTACTATGGGGAAGACAGGACGTCCTGAGGAGTCCAGAGTGATGGGCTGAACCAGCTTACGAGACCCCCCGTCAGCAACCTTCCGCTTTTTCGACATTCTTTTTGGACCTGAGGAAATTGTATTTTATGGAGTCAAAGAGAATACTAGAAGACCAAAAACATTGTGCTGCCCATCATCACAGGACATAAGAATCTGTCTAATCTACAGGTAGGCTGGTATAAACATGGTTCTACCCACCGTCTTCCTTTCCATTGTCCCTGCCTCGTTCCTTTCGTTCCTTCTTGGGTTTCTTAGGAAGGCCCTCCTCTGCCCCAGAGGTCCCAGGGGCCAGGTTATGACCCCCGGGCAGGGCTGACGCCCCCGTTGGGCCGGAGCTGAAGGTCACAGGGGGGTGAGAGCTGGTACTGGCAGCGGTGAGCATCTCCCCCTCAGACACAGACTGGTACTGCAACAGCGATTTCAGTAAGAACCTGGAAAACAAAGCACAAGAGATGTCTGATTAGACAGTTTTCAAAGTACCTGTCAATCAGTGGCCGAAAGTGAGAAAAATTAATTGCATCAATATAACACAGTTAGAGGGAAGATATTGGGTCGCATGCATTGCCAAAAGTGTCCTCACCTGCGCTCCTCTTTTACTCGCACAAACTTCTCCTCCAAGTGGGCAACTTCATCACAGAGAGCCGCATTCTCCTGTGGGTTATATACAATGTGACTTCAGTTAGTGACTTAAACCCTCAGCTTATAATACCATAGTCTACTACACATCCCCTACATTTCTCTTCCATACATCTAAGTGTAATTGGGGAAGCATGTAGCATCTGAATACATTGTGTTACAGAAATAACTAGAATAATACTGATTCAAGTGATTGTCTTTAGTATGTAGACTCTACTCACAAATATCATGGCCCGTGCTGCTTTGCGTAGTCTGAGGTACTTTAGTCGGTACTTATCGTTCAGGTTCTTGCGTGGGCCTTTCTTGTTCTTGGGCCTGGTCTCAGAGAGACCCGTGGGGGAGGGGAAGGGAGGCAGAGAGGCTGCAGAACCCGAGCTGGAGAAGGTTGACTGGGGGGGAGACGCCATGAAAGACTGGGTGGTGAAGGACTGTAGAGCCTGCTGCCCCTCATCATCTGTCTGTGGATGGATAGAGGCCAAACTCAGTGGGCATTGCATCATAACACCACATTCAAATACTGGTGGCAATGTAGGCCACGATCCACATCATGATTGTGCATACAATGACAATGTTATGTGGATGAGGTATATCTGGAAAAGTAACTGATGCAACTCAAAATGAAAAGTGTGACATAGCAAAGTAACATAGCTACAATGACTATATAAAGAAAAATTAAATAATGTTAATTATCCAAACACATTGATCTTCAACTGCACTCTCCTAAATGTCTATATTTGTCAGATCAGCAGTGATATAATTGAACTAAAGGGATTTATTCTGACATCCTTTGCATAATGATAACTTACCAACAGTGCAAAGACTCCATTTTTGTTCTCAATCCTCTTGAATCTCCTGCTGCCTTTCTGTGTCTGCAACATAGCGGGATACTGAGGCCAAGGCTAGGTGTTGGGGAACTGACAAATGTCTTAAGGGTGTGTTTCACTGTTGTAACCTTGAATGACTAAGATCTAGCCTGTGTTAACTGATACTTAGAGAGCATCATGTTGAATGTTCTAGTCCTGGCACACTGTAGCAGAGTGAGCACTATTGCATTTTCTCTGGTTCAAGGCACAGGCCTTTGATGTGCAAACCTGTCCTACGTTCAACTAATGGCCTGTCGTTCAATAACAAAAGGAAGAGATTTAAAATTTCTAATACTGAAATATCCACTTTGATAACGTTGAGCACAAATAACAAAAATAAAGTGAAAGGCTTAATTTATTGTGACTATGGTGTGGAGTCCATTGGAACACAGCAAAGAAAATGGAGATGCTGTGAGCTTTGGGCCTATCACGGCCATTGCAGTGTCTCACTCATTAGCCTTACCTCACGGTACATGACAGCCTCAAGGCTCGACTTCGCACTGTCCAGAAATAGGATATAAATGTGGTTATGGACAGTTGAGGAATGAATACTGGGAATATCATGCTATTGATCAATCAGGATTGTTTTTGAAAGTTAAAAATACCTTTTTTTAAATGGATGCAGTTGATACATATTGTCTTGCTTTAAAATGCATTGTATATCTATAGATGGCTTTAAATAGTTTGTCTTATGAATTGATAAAAGTGTTGTACAGTACTTGGACTGAACCAATCCCCTGTCAATGATTTGCTGTTTGATCTCCTTGATGTGCATTGGGTGTCCAGCTGCCTCCAGTACAATCTGGGAAAATGCAGACTGTTGTATTGCTGCTGTATTTCACTGACATGACAGCAATCTGATTTTAAATGTCAACATGGTACATACAGTAGCCTACAGACAGTGCTGTGTTAAAAAATACTCTACCTGCGCAGCATCAAGCCATGTGAGATTGGGCTTGTCTGCAACATCGTTAGGTGGTTCACTGTGGAAAGAGAATAAATAGGCTCATTCCTATTTAGGTAGACATAGTTTAAGACAAGGCAAACAAATATTCAAGTAAGAGACTTATCCTCATACCAGTACTAGCAGAAAGCCCCAGCATTATCTTTCCAGTGTAGGGGCTGCCTATTTGTCCTCCCACATACAAAAGATTGAGGAAGTGTGTGTGCATACTGTTCATTTGGCATTGCTTACGTCTCTAGAGCCTCAGCAGCTCCTCCAAGACTGGCCATGTTGTCCAAGGCAGGGAAGAGAGAGTAGTTTCCCTGTCCGTCTGGCTCCATCTCGGACTCAAAGTTGGACAGTGTGTTCAGTGGGTCCATAGGTGAGAGAGGAGTTCCTGTGGTCTGGTTTCTGCTCGTTGAGGGCTGCAACAAAACGAAAACACACATCCAAGAACTCTGGTCATCTGGATTAATTTTGCAGAACATAGCTACTGCCTGGGAAAACAAGAGGCATGAGCATGTTTTGAAATGTAGCTCGTTTTAGGTCATCGGCGACGGCGCATGCACAGCTAACGTTACTACTAGCTCGCTATCTATCTATCAATGCTCGCTGGCAAGTAGATAACCCCGTAGTTTACGCGAATGAATGTTTGTACGATTATTCGTAATATTTTGCAAAAGCTTACCCCATTCCTGTCAATTCGTGCTCGCGCTTGCTCTTTTCCGTGAATCATCGGGGAACCCTGAAGCACTTCTTCGCTCGTCTCCATTGCATTGTTTACATAACTTACACGTTGAAGCAAAAGCTTGACGCTAGCAAACAAACACGTTTACCGGAGAGTATGTTTGCTTCTAATCTTAACAATTACTACGATGAAAGGTTTGCAAAAATCCAACGCGTTGTGCAGTCGACTTGTTTTTATGGTCGGAACCATTTCAGAACATGGACGGAAAATGCGCTTCGGAGGTATTAAAACGAGCACCATGCATTTCCTGTCTTCTTCAATGAGGTTTAACGACGGTTGGCATCCAATTTGTTGCATTACCGCCACCTACTATATTGGTGTACAACTCCCTTATATTTTCTTGAAAAATAAAATAAAACAAAGCAAAGAAATATCCTACCATCTAACACTACACTCACAACTTCAAAACTACTACTAATAATTAACCCCACCCTTCTCCACTATTTAAATATACTCACTCCTACCTCATGCCCTCAACCTGAAATTATGGGACATCACCACTTAACACTCCCTGTAACTTTTCTGCTGTCAGGTCTCGCACACCCAAATATCTCTTTGCAGCTGCCACCACAACCTTAATTTTCTTCGATTTGCGTTCCATCCCTGCAGTACAATTAATAACCATTGCTATAAACGCTAAAAACCCAATCTTACTGAAACATATATCACTTGCTTGCCTATCCCACTGTACTGGTATATATCTCCTACTCTCACCACTCCCCCCCTTGACCCCTCTTCCTCTACTTTCTTCACTGCCTCCGCATATGACAACTTCTTCTCTACTCTTACCCTGGAAACCTTAACCTGCTTCTCTCGCACTGGACATGTCTGATCCCAAGCCGCATGGCCACCCCTACAATTAGCACATACCACTACTTTCCCCACTGCTTCACACTCATTAGTCTCATGCCCTTCTGCACACTTATCACACCTTGGAATCTCCCTCCTACATACTGCTGCCACATGCCCATAATGCATTTCCTGTCAAACGGGCTATCTTTATTAAATTACTTTTTTAGATTTGGGAAATGTAGTTCTTTATGCAGTCCGTTGTCAACAGCTGATGTGCTCAAATATACTGTATACGTAGGTGTGAACTGAGCATGAGCTACTTTAACAATAATACTAAGCAATATTTTAATGAATTACATTTACTTAATGATGGTAAATGTTTTATCAATTAACATTCTCTCTCTCTCTCTCTCTCTCTCTCTCTCTCTCAATTCAATTTCAATTTCAATTTAAGGGCTTTATTGGCATGGTAAACGTATGTTAACATTGCCAAAGCAAGTGAAGTAGATAGTAAACAAAAGTGAAATAAACAATAAATATTAACAGCAAACATTACACTCAGAAGTTTCAAAAGAATAAAGACATTTCAAATGTCATATTATGTATATATACAGTGTTGTAACAATGTGCAAATAGTTAAAGTACAAATGGGAAAATAAATAAACATAAATATGGGTTGAATTTACAATGGTGTTTGTTCTTCACTGGTTGCCCTTTTCTTGTGGCAACAGGTCACAAATCATGAAGTTGTGATGGCACACTGTGGTTTTTCACCCAGTAGATAAGGGAGTTTATCAAAATTGGGTTTATTTTCGAATTCTTTGTGGATCGCTGTAATCTGAGGGAAATATGTGTCTCTAATATGGTCATACATTTGGCAGGAGGTTAGGAAGTGCAGCTCAGTTTCCACCTCATTTTGTGGGCAGTGTGCACATAGCCTGTCTTCTCTTGAGAGCCAGCTCTGCCTACGGCGGCCTTTCTCAATAGCAAGGCTATGCTCACTGAGTCTGTACATAGTCAAAGCTTTCCTTAAGTTTGGGTCAGTCACAGTAGTCAGGTATTCTGCCACTGTGTACTCTCTGTTTAGGGCCAAATAGCATTCTAGTTTGCTCTGTTTTTTTGTTTGTTCTTTCCAATGTCAAGTAATTCTCTTTTTGTTTTCTCATGATTTGGTTGAGTCTAATTGTGTTGTTGTTGTTGTTGTTGTCCTGGGGCTCTGTGGGGTCTGTTTGTGTTTGTGAACAGAGCCCCTGGACCAGCTTACTTAGTGGACTCTTCTCCAAGTTCATCTCTCTGTAGGTGATGGCTTTGTTTTGGAAGGTTTGGGAATCGCTTCCTTTTAAGTGGTTATAGAATTTAACGGCTCTTTTCTGGATTTTGATAATTAGCGGGTATTGGCCTAATTCTGCTATGCATGCATCATTTGGTGTTTTACATTGTACATGGAGGATGTTTTTGCAGAATTCTGCATGCAGTCTCAATTTGGTGTTTGTCCCATTTTGTGAATTCTTGGTTGGTGAGCGGACCCCAGACCTCACAACCATAAAAGGCAATGGGTTCTATAACTGATTCAAGTATTTTTAGCCAGATCCTAATTAGTATGTCAAATTTTATGTTCCTTTTGATGGCATAGAAGGCCCTTCTTGCCTTGTCTCTCAGATCGTTCACAGCTTTGTGGAAGTTACCTGTGGCGCTGATGTTTAGGCCGAGGTATGTATAGTTTTTTGTGTGCTCTAGGGCAACGGTGTCTAGATGGAATTTGTATTTGTGGTCCTGGCAACTGGACCTTTTTTGGAACACCATTATTTTTGTCTTACTGAGATTTACTGTCAGGGCCCAGGTCTGACAGAATCTGTGCAGAAGATCTAGGTGCTGCTGTAGGCCCTCCTTGGTTGGTGACAGAAGCACCAGATCATCAGCAAACAGTAGACATTTGACTTCAGATTCTAGTAGGGTGAGGCCGGGTGCTGCAGACTGTTCTAGTGCCCTCGCCAATTCGTTGATATATTTGTTGAAGAGGGTGGGGCTTAAACTGCATCCCTGTCTCACCCCACGGCCCTGTGGAAAGAAATGTGTGTTTTTTGCCAATTTTAACCGCACACTTGTTGTTTGTGTACATGGATTTTATAATGTCGTATGTTTTTCCCCCAACCGCTCTTTCCATCAACTTGTATAGCAGACCCTCATGCCAAATTGAGTCAAAAGCTTTTTTGAAATCAACAAAGCATGAGAAGACTTTGCCTTTGTTTTGGTTTGTTTGTTTGTCAATTAGGTGCAGGGTGAATACGTGGTCTGTCGTACGGTAATTTGGTAATCTCTCCCTCTCTCTCTCTGCCAATGCCCGAAGGTACACTAAACATGTCAAAACTTACACAACTTGTTACTTTAATTTGAATCCCTAGGCTGTGCTGAGAGGAGTTTGACATTAATGAAGAAATAGATGAACAACCCTTGATCTATTATACACCATACCCAACAATTATTTGCACGTCATTTGATATAAATCAAAGACAGCAATCACTTATTTATTGTATTTAACCTACATTTTGAGTCATGCTGAGACCAAGGTCTCTTTTATAGATGAGCACATAAATATATTAATATTGTTTGGGATGAATAGCAAAGTAGACATACACACTCTATAACCGCTTTTCTTTGTTTTGTAGTGATAGACAAGCAAGAAACACAGTAGTTGTCACGATCGTCGGATATAGAGGACCAAGGCGCAGTGTGGAAGGTGAACATACTTATTTATTAAATGATACACGAACAAAACAACAAATCGATACGTGACGTCCACAGGTGCAAAACACAAACCAACACGGAACAAGATCCCACAAACACTGTGGGAAAACCACCTGACTAAATATGGTTCCCAATCAGAGACAACCAGCAACAGCTGATACTCGTTGCCTCTGATTGAGAACCACTCTGGCCAACATAAATATACAACAACTAGACACAACGAGCACAAAACATAAACTCTACACACCCTGGCTCAACTTAAAAGAGTCCCTAGAGCCAGGGCGTGACAGTACCCCCCCCTAAAGGCGCGGACTGCGACCGCGCCTAAACATCACCGAACAGGGGAGGACTGGGTGGGCATTCCTCCTCGGAGGCGGTTCCGGCTCCGGGCTTGACCACCACCCTCTACTAACCCCCCCGTAGTGCCCCTGGTCTGGTCTAGCCCCACTGGCTGGAGCTTGACTGGACTTCAGTGGAGCGGATTGCTCAGGCTCCAGTGTGGAGCAGCTGACCGGTTCCTGACCAGGCACCGGTGAAACGGGCACGGGCCGGCGATGCGCACCACAGGTTTGGTGCGGGGAGCAGGAACAGGCCGGACCAGGCTGGCGACGCGCACCATTGTCTTGGTGCGGGGAGCAGGAACAGGCCGGGCCGGGCTGGCGACGCGCACCACTAGCTTGGTGCGGGGAGCAGGAACAGGCCGGACCGGGCTGGCGATGCGCACCACAGGTTTGGTGCGGGGAGCAGGAACGGGCCGGGCCGGGCTGGCGACGCGCACCATTGGCTTGGTGCGGGGAGCAGGAACAGGCCGGGCCGGGCTGGCGACGCGCACCATAGGCTTGGTGCGAGGGGCAGGAACAGGCCGGGCCAGGCTGGCGACGTGCACCATAGGCTTGGCGCGATGGACAGGAACAGGCCGGACCGTACTGGGAACACACACCACTGGCCTTACACGGGGATCAGGAACGGGCCGGACCGGACTGGCAACACACTTCAGTACCTCTCGCCGTGCCTCTACATTTTCCTTCCCTCTATACACCAATGGCTCCCGTAACCCGGTGGCCTTCTCTCCTCGTCCACCAACTCGCCCCTTATCTGCCTCCAGTGGCCCCGTCGTCCCTGCCATGTGCCCCCCCCCTAAAAATTTCTTGGGGGTGCCCCTCGCCTGTCCGACGACTGCCCGGTTGGCGCCGCTTCTCCTCTCCTGCCTGGGCACGCTGCTTGGTCCTGTATTGGTGGGATCTTCTGTCCCAATCGTCGGATATAGAGGACCAAGGCGCAGCGTGGAAGGTGAACATACTTATTTATTAAATGATACACGAACAAAACAACAAATCGATACGTGACGTCCACAGGTGCAAACCAACACGGAACAAGATCCCACAAACACTGTGGGAAAACCACCTGACTAAATATGGTTCCCAATCAGAGACAACCAGCAACAGCTGATACTCGTTGCCTCTGATTGAGAACCACTCTGGCCAACATAGATATACAACAACTAGACTAGACACAACGAGCACAAAACATAAACTCTACACAACCTGGCTCAACTTAAAAGAGTCCCTAGAGCCAGGGCGTGACAGTAGTAGGCCTACAACAGTTTCCAAAAATATTTACAGTGATAGATACATTTTTTGTGGGAACATATAGAATGTTCATGACAACGAAATCGTATTATCAATAGTAGTAATACTTAGTAGTATCTTAGTAGAAATCCAGCCAGCCGTAGTTCAGTGGAACACGTATCACCCGTTTAAATGCCAGATAGTACTCACTCTGCCTTGGACCATCTGAGAAGAAAAGGTAACCTATAGGAGAAAATATTGGCTTTATCAGTCAAAGTTTTTTGTCTAGAGCAAAAGTTAATAATAATAATAAGATAGTTTCACAGTATTCCTTGCAAAAAAAACTCACCAAAGTTCTGACAGACAGCGTCCACTTTGGAGCCAAAGCCTGTGAAATCCTGAGTTATGGATAGAGGATATCCATAGTCCACTTGGCGTCTTGCCTCAACAAAGCTGAAACATAATTATCAATCAAATTATACATTTTGATGTTGTTAAACAGTTTTTTTTTTTTTAAGATGCAGAAAAATGCATGACATATCAATTATTGGCATCTAATTAAACCATGTTCCAAACTCACCTCCAGTATTTGTTGCCCACAAAGAAGAATGTTTTCCCTCTGGTTGGCACATACACAGATGCATCTTACTAAGTCACTGATGAGGGGCAGCCCAGGTTGGAGATTGACTTTGGATAACCAAGGAGGATTGTCTTTGCATAAGCCCTTATTCCCCAGTATTTGTCACCTGTGGAAATATGAGGCAAAGCAAATACTGTTTGAGAGAGAGTTTGGCAGTGGGAGTACACAAATCATTAGCTGTCACTTTTTGTGCTTTTGACGTTCCTGTCATTACTGTACCTTAAAACAGATACACCACATCTTTAGCTGGGAGTTCATAGGCAGCATCGACATAGTTCATCTGAGCCCATCTTGGACAGACTTGCTCTTCCCCCAGTAGTACCTATAATGACAGTGAATCAGCTTGAAACACAGGTTCCATTCACAGGCCTTTTCTTACAAGATAATGATCAAATTGTCTTGCAATGGAAATGTTTGCAAGAATCCAACTCACCAACAGGTCTCCCCTGATGGAGGAGGCTGCGTCAAACACCAGGTCCCGGTTGCACTGCTTGTCTTTGGGGTTGGGTCTGGGGTCTGGCTTGGGATCCGGTTTGGGATCCAGCTTGGGGTTCTCTGTTGGCTCTTCGGGTTCTGCCTCTGGTTCTGGTTTGGGATCTTGCTAGAGTGTAGGCTTGTGATCAGGTGTACGGGTACCTATAAGATAACACACATCACACAAACATATAAATAGGATACCATAATAAAAAACACATAGTGAACAGATTTATTCTATAGAAATGCTGTCAATGTGTTTGTTTACCATTTAGGGGTTGGACCCTGCATCTGTCATCATCAGGCAGTGTGTATCCATTGGTGTTGGCATACTGATAGGTGGGGAACATCAGAGCTCTCCTGTGCCTGGAGTGGTCCAGCCCCAGAGCGTGACCAAACTCATGGGCCGCCACCAACAGCAGATTCACTCCTGAGGACAACATTACATGTGAGTCTGTTGAATCAGTTAATCGGGCTACACTATGTCTTAAATATAGTTGTGTGTTCAGATAGTTACCCCTCTGGCTCAGTGTCCAGGTTTCATCGTCCTCAAAGTGTGTATCCCCACCTTGGTCCCGTCCATGGGAGTTGGCATGGGCTAATACACCATTCGGCCCATCAAAAGGAGAGAAGTCCCTATGATCTGTGTTTGGACAAGCAAGATTTAAGACGTTTATCAGTAGTGTACAGAGATGGTATTGAGTCCATACCGTTGTCATAGTCCATACTCACATCCACCCTTGAAGAGGATCATGATGTCTGCAGTATCAGTGTAGATCTGTTTGAAGTCCAGAGGGATTACATCACCGTAGATCTGGAAGGCCTGGGCTATAGTTGCATCTACATCACTCTGCCTCAGCTGATGTGGATGTGGTGTTGGAGTCAGGCGCAGGACACAGAAGCTTAGTCCAACAGACTTTACTAGTCAAAACACGACAATACAAAATAACGGGCCTCAACACAACGGAGGCGAGCGATTACGCAAACTGTGCGTCAATACACAAAATACAAGAGATTACGCAAACAGTGCGTCAATACACTAAATACACGAGAGCAAATACAAAATCACCAACGGACAGGCGGACAACAACACACAACTACAAACAAAACCAAAGGAAACTTATAGGTGACATAATCAATACGTGATATGGAACAGGTGCACTAATCAGACAAAACCAAACAAACATAGAGAACATCAAACGGTAGCAGCTAGTACTCCGGAGACGACGAACGCCGAAGCCTGCCCGAACAAGGAGGAGGAGCAGTCTCGGCGGAATTCGTGACAGTCTGCTGTGTACTGAGTGATTCTGTCAAACACAAGTCATTCAGCACTCACTCATTGACATTACCTGACAAGTAAAAGGGCCCCATTTTACTACTGCAGTACAGTGCAGCCCAGGCATTGCACAATGACCCAGGCTGGGCAACAACGGATTTGACATTTTTAGCAGATGATCAACAATGATCCATGAGTACCATATTATTTTCCTTCATTCTAGCAGTCAAACGTAATGCATTTCAAAAGCAGTGCTTGTCTACAGTTAAAGCTTTCACTATACCTGTGGGTAACAGTGCTCTTCTCCCATTTTGGTTTCCCGTGGAAGTGTCCTTATCTGCTAATGTCAGACACTCCACATCTGGTCCTCCTTCATCACCTGTGTGTTGTTGCCCAGAACCACAGTGACCTCCAGGCCAAAGAACGCCTGCATGGCCTCCAGGCTCTTGTTGAAGTCAGGCTTGATAATACTCTGGGAAGTTGAGTTTGTCAACCTGTGTAGTATTGAGACAGGTAGTCCTGGTGTAGGAGGAGGATTAGAGACAACATTTTAAACAATCTGTTTCCTAATGACCATTGGGACTCTCATGTGAAACAGTACAAGCATAACAAGTAGGCTAACAAGTATTTTCTCACCTTACTGAGATAATACTGACGATAAGGGTAGCAACATACTGAGCCATGTGATGCTATTCTTCAGATAAATTACCTCAGCGACTGTCTCGTCGTCCTCTGGTGATGTTTGGACCTCTGGAGCACTGGCGGGGGCAGCCTGACACAGACCCAAACGTTAGGACAAACCCCTATACTCAAGGAAGAGGGATCGTCCTCCTGATAACATTGTTGGAGGTGGTGTGAAGAGTTTGGGGTGATTGTTAGGGTGAGGTTTAGGCATACTGTAGGTACACACAAGTTAACATTGTAAGGATAAAACAGTGGTTAGTTTGAATATCTTTGATCAGTCAAAGGAAGCACATTTATTAACAATCAAACTTCAAAATACTTTTTAATTGAAATACAATTCAAAGTATAACATGTTACTACATTATAATACAATTAATCAATTTGTAATTTATGTTCTGTACACATACAGTAAGATACCACATGGTTGCTTGATGTTGCAATTTGACTTGCAACACTGTCATCAACATTCAGCTGATGAGTTATCTTGGTTCATGCTAGGTGAGGTAGCCCTGAGGTACTTAGATACTGTATATTCATCTCACCCAACCCAAGATTTACTTAATCCGATTTTAAATATCAAATTAAAAAAACTGCTTTGAACAGCAACTCCTGATATTTGCATCAAAGCTACAAAAGACGTGTATGTGCAGGGACATTAAACCGATTGCTACGTACAAAATCTGACATACTCATATCCCCAAGGTATACTTCAGGACATGTTCAATTGATTGAACAGGTACACTCTTGTCAGATGTTCTTTCACAGCTGCGCTAGGTAGGTAACAAACATTGTAATGGAGGCAGGTAGCCTAGCGGTTAGAGCGTTCCAACAAGGTGGAAAAAATCTGTCGATGTGCCTTTGAGCAAGGCACTTAACCCTAATTGTTTATGTAAGTCGCTCTGGATAAGAGCGCATGTAAAATGTCTGTAGGTAGTATTCCTTTTCATGAAGGAGTGTAGGGGTCACGTCTTTGACAGATATGTTAGCAGCCCAGCCATGCATTCGCTAGAATTCGATTCAGCACCCGGTTCTGTCTGTAGTCATAGTTGTATGCCTTTGTTCCACTGAAGAGATAGATAGTACCTGTTGATGAGAAAATATGATAATGTTTTGTTTAAAGTGGGCCTAGTAATCAAGATAACACAAACGTGTCATGATATCAAAATGTATGCAATTGAAGGCAAGGTGACATGGCGAAGTGTTTTATAGGCTACCTTGTAATTGAAATGCAGCATCAACCCTCCTCCCAATACCTGGCCAGTCTGTTTGGATGTTTCTTGGAAATCCTGGATCCATCCTACGTCTGTGTTCATCGTATCTGTACAATGGATAACAAATAAACATTGAACTTATAAATAAATGATGGATAGCTTATGTCCAGTTGCTTTCTAACAAAAGCTCATTGTTAAACACTAGATGGCAGGCTTTGCCTCTCAGGAGCTGGAATGCCTATTCATCAAAACACTGCTACAGTCAAAACATACTGCTCTTACCTAAACAGTGGACTTTGGAAATAGTATATTTTCTGCAACAGAATATTGTATTATACTGTAATAACCATTCACTTTATGTTTTTCATTTACCTAAAAAACATTTTGTTAGAGGCTATGTTTACCTGTAGTAATCGTGTCCTATGAAGAAGAAGGTTTTTCCATATTTACTGATATGAACAGCAGCGTCAATGTTCCTTACTCTGGCTGGGAATCCATAGTCATATATGGAACCAAAGTGGCTTTTCATCTTAAGCTGTCGAACCACCCAGTACTTAGGACCTGAAACACAGAGCACTGTCACTGCATTTGGAACACTATGAAAAACATACCACAAGAACTGCCAGATACCAATGAGCATTGTGAGTTTCTTGCATGAAGTGCAACAATTTAGGTCCAGTGGTTCTTTGAAACGGTTTTCTGTTTCAAATCTAGCCTTGTCATGCTGCGAGGCCTAAGTGAAGCCTTTGAGATGATCAGACTGCACATTACCAGTGAAGACATATGCCACGCCTTTGGCAGGGATGTCATAGGCTGCGTCCACAGGAGAGTTGATGCTGGGGAGGTATGTGCTGCTGGGGCCCTCTCTCAGACGGTTCCAGTATGTCGTCCATGTTGTCCTCAACCACATGTACCTGGAGGGAAACAAACCACTGTGTTGGGGCAAATAATATCTTATACTATAAAAATCATATTGCATAATTCAAAACTCCTTTACCTGTTTTTAAAGAAAACAATCTCCTTCCCGAACAATGCCACTGCATCAACAGAGAAGTTGGGATCGCACTTCTTAAGAAGGTTAGGTGGATCCTGTTTTCTGACTGGCTTGCCTTGGAAATAATAGCAAAGTCTCCAAAGTTTAGATAGAAATCCACCAAAAATGTACCATGTGATAATTATGTTATTGCTGATTTCAACTCACCATACAGCGCCTGGATTCCCAGTGCGTCATCTCGTGGCAGTGTGTACTGTGCTCCATTGTAATACTTGTAGTTGGGGTACATGAGAGATGAGGGGTCTTTGGAATGGGAGAGGCCCAGGGAGTGGCCAAACTCATGGGCCGCAACAGTGAACAGGTTGTAACCTAAAACAACATCCAATGAGAAAATGTTTATTTGTCTATAATCATATTTTGAATCCTAATTCATTATGTTTTATAAAAGAAATTCAGATCCTCATGTTATGCTTGGAGCAGTGGCCCTACCTAGCTTGCGATGCCCCATCGTCCAGATTTCATCCTCGTCAAAGTGCACATCTCCCCCCATGCCCTCCCCTGGCTCGAAGGCGTGGGCCAGAACACCCTTGGGGCCGTCAAAGGGAAAGAAGTCTCCATGAGCTACGATGGGTGGATGGAGAGAGATGGACTATCAGTCACGTACCTGGAAACTGGCTCCAATAAGTACATAATTATAGCACAATTAAAACATCACATGCAGCCACACATATTCTCTACCACCTCTATTAGAAAATACGCTGAACTGAACGGAGAATGATTTAGGGTCAGAATACTTTTTCTTGCAAAGGAGAGGACGATGTCTGCCGTGTCGTGGTTGACCTTGATGAACTTCAGTGGGGCCGCGTCACTCCAGATCTTCAGGGCCAAACGGAATGAGGTATCCACCTCTTCCCGTGTAAGGTCAGGGGTGTACTGAGAAATCCTGCAGGTCATTGGCACACAGACAACACAGAAAAACATGATACAGCCTGAACGAAAGCATAAAAAAAACAGGACTAGTTAGATCCAGTGACCTGGTAATCTATTGGCAGGTGGCTGGTATTGATTGATTGATACAATTCAGTGATGTTATGATGAAAACATTGTTAATTTTGGGGATTATGTCATTCCTCTTATACACAGTGTATAAAGCATTAGGAACACCTTCCTAATATTGAGTTGCACCCCCTTTTGCCCTCAGAACAGCCTCAATTCGTCAGGGTGTGGACTCTACAAGGTGTCGAAAGCGTTCCACAGGGATGCTGGCCCATGTTGACTCCAAATCTTCCCACGGTTGTGTCAAGTTGGCTGGATGTCCTTTGGGTGGTGGACTATTCTTGATACACACGGGAAACTGTTGAGCGTGAAAAACCCAGAAGCGTTGCAGTTCTTGAAACACTCAAACCGGTGCACCTGGCACCTACTACCACTTAAATGTTTTGTCTTGCCCATTCACCCTCTGAATGGCACACATACACAATCCATGTCTCAATTGTTTCAAGGCTTAAACATAATTCTTTAACCTGTTTCCTCCCCTTCATCTACACTGAGTTAAGTGGATTTAACAGGTGACGTCAATAAGGGATCATAGCTTTCACCTGGATTCACCTGGTCAGTCTATGTCATGGAAAGAGAAGGTGTTCCTAATGTTTTGTACACTCAGTGTAATTCCCTGCAGTTTAAAAATATGAAAGTCTGCTTTAGGAAGTTATATCTATATTCTGACAGATATTTAGAATATCAATGGAGAAAATACCAAAAGATCAAATGTATTTATTTATTTTACCTTTATTTTGCCAGTCAGGTCAATTAAGAACAAATTCTTATTTACAATGACAGCCTGGCTAGAGGCAAAATACCTCCTGTGTGGCAGGGGGTTAAACGAAATGGTACAACAAGATGGACAACACAGATGGAAGACAGTTGTCAGCAGAAAGAAGAAGACATTGTGACCGATAACCGATACTAGACCGATAACAGAAAACAAATAATAATATACACCTGTATGTAATGGTGTGATTCTTCCACTTGGGCTGGTCAGGGTAAAAGCTGTAGTTTTCCACGTCAGGCACTCCACACCTGTGCTTCCTCATCACAGAGAGGGTCTGGAGATCCAATCTGCCAGTCTGCTTCAGACTAAAGAAACCCTGCATCTCCCTGATCTTCTCCTCGAGGGCTGAGGTGGAGGTGGCCCTCCTACTGCGGGGCCGGAGGCCACTGCTGGGACTCATGTGGTAGAACCTCCTCAGGTAACCCTATCATACAGCTGGTTACTAACCAAACTTCCACTGATAGCAGGTCACTTCTCTAATAAGGACAAAAAAGTATTATTTGTCCTAAAGTAAGCAACACTTTATGTTGTCCAGAAGATGACAGCTTTTGCTTGACCTAAAGTAGTCATAACTTTTAGTTGTCCTAAAGTGCACCTCATAAATGTACTCAACATGTACCATTGAAAAACAGACAATAACTACAATTGCAATACCTGGGCAAATAGTCAAAACACAATCAATGTATTCCAATACATTTTGTTTTTCTTCTAAAGATAGGATTTTTCAGATTTTCTAAAGAGTGGATGAAGACACAAACCTCAGCCAGTTCCATGTCCTCAGGCCTTGGCCATTGTTCCTTAGAGATGGGCAAAGTCCACAACAGGTCTGTGAGCACTAGAAAGCACAGCACTTGGATCCAGGTCCACAGCCACTCCATCTTTAAATGAACAAGCTCTTTACATTTTAGCCCATGGCTTTATAGATAGGGGCATGTGTAAGGTCTGTGGTGAATCACATGATTTCAAAGCCCTCAATCCTGCAGTTGCAATAGTTCTACCTGCAGCTATTACCATGAGGTGTGTGGTAAGAATAATTACTCTATGGAAAGCCCTGAACTATATCTTGTTTACCTCAATCCAGGTCTTAAGAGTGTGAAACAGGATAAAAAGGATGTCCTATAGCCCTACCTGGCAACACTGGGCTTGTTACTTTGGTTACCAAGTATATTGCTTCCTGCACGTAGGCTACACGTTTGCACGTCAATCGTCTATCTAATATTTCCAAAATGTCCAAATGACATATGGCCTTTTATTGGCCATGATTTTTAAACAAAAAATGGATTAGACTAGAGTTATTTGGACTAACTCTATTATGCTGGAGTTATTTGGATGACCTGTTGAATTGCACTTGTCAAATAGGCAGTGTTGTCCTCACTTAGTCATAAAGTGTCAATTGGCACAGAGCTCCAATAACATAGATGCTCTTGGTCTGGTTTGATATCTTCATTGCAATCTCAACCACACTTGCTGATGTCTGAACTGAAATATATGATCTAGGTAATGTTTATGAAATTAGCCATAGAAACTCACCCACTAATTTCTGCCTGATGTGTTGGGGGCATGTTGGGATTATGTAACACAATCCTTTCTCACGGTTTTGATTCATGAACCTGCAAATATTTCCTATATGTTTTCTTTACAGGCAACCCAATACATTGGACTGAATTCAACATATTATAATTATGCGTACAGTTTTATATAGCTTTGCATAGCCTTTATTGCATTTTGGACACAAACATTTAATTTCCAAATAAATGTTTTTGGTAACTGTCAGGGGCGACGTGTATGCGGTGAGTGAAGTCAAGCGCAGGACACAGAGATACTAGCAGACGTACTTTACTAATAGTAAAGAACATGCAAAACAAAACCTCCTGAACAGGGAGGAAAACAAATACACGTATACGACAAAAACAGCAATGCCGATACAGCCTAGACACAAAACAATAACACACAATACCAAACGAGAGACATGGGTAAATATAGGGACTACAATCAAACATAATAGACAACAGGTGTAACCACTCAAGACAGAACAAGACAAACACCGAAACATCGATCGGCAGTAGCTAGTACTCCGGGGACGACGAATGCCGAAGCCTCTCTGAGCAAGGAGGAGGAGCAGCCTCGGCAGAATCCGTGACAGTACCCCCCCCCTTGACGCGCGGCTCCAGCCTCGGGGACGGCCAGGAGGACGCGGAACAGGGCGAGTCGGATGACTCCGGTGGAACTCCGTCAACAGGGAGGGATCTAGGATGTCCCTCCTAGGGACCCAGCACCGTTCCTCCGGACTGTACCCCACCCACTCCACGAGATAATGCAGACCCCCCATCCGACGTCTCGAATCCACGATGGAACGGACTGAGTACGCCAGAGCCCCTTCGATGTCTAGTGGGGGCGGAGGAGCCTCTCGTATCTCATTCTCCTGGAGTGGACCAGCTACCACCGGCCTGAGGAGAGACACATGGAACGAGGGGTTAATGCGGTAATTTATGGGCAGTTGTAACCTATAACATACCTCGTTCAATCTCCTCAGGACTTTAAATGGCCCCACAAACCGCCGACCCAGCTTCCGGCAGGGCAGGCGAAGGGGCAGGTTTCGAGTCGAGAGCCAGACCTGATCTCCAGGGGCATAAACTGGACCCTCACTGCGGTGGCGATCGGCGCTCGCCTTATGCCTACTGATACCCGCTGCAGATGGACATGCGCAGCGTTCCATGTCTCCTCCGAGCGCCGAAACCACTCATCCACCGCAGGAGCCTCGATCTGGCTCTGATACCAGGGTGCCAGGACCGGCTTATACCCCAACACACACTGAAAAGGAGTAAGATTAGTGGAGTAGTGGCGAAGTGAGTTTTGGGCTATCTCTGCCCAGGGGATATACCCCGACCACTCCTCCTGCCGGTCCTGGCAATAGGACCTCAGAAACCTACCCACATCCTGGTTTACTCTCTCCACCTGCCCATTACTCTCAGGGTGAAAACCCGAGGTAAGGCTAATCGAGACCCCCAAACGTTCCATAAATGCCCTCCAGACTCTAGAGGTGAACTGGGGAGCCCGATCAGACACTATATCCTCAGGCACCCCGTAGTGCCGGAAGACGTGGGTAAACAAGGCGTCGGCCGTTTGTAGGGCTGTAGGGAGACCTGGCATTGGAATGAGACGGCAGGCCTTAGAAAACCGATCCACAACGACCAAGATCGTGGTATTCCCCTGGGAGGGGGGAAGGTCCGTGACAAAATCCACCGATAGGTGAGACCACGGCCGTTGTGGAACGGGTAGAGGTTGTAACTTCCCTCTAGGCAGGTGTCTCCAGGTTACGATGGTCAGTCAGAATGAGAAAAGGGTGTTTAGCCCCCTCAAGCCAATGCCTCCACACCTTCAGGGCTTGAACCACCGCTAGCAGCTCCCTGTCCCCCACGTCATAATTGCGTTCCGCCGGACTGAGCTTCTTAGAATAAAAGGCACAGGGACAGAGTTTTGGAGGCGTGCCCGAGTGTTGAGACAGTACAGCACCAATCCCCGCCTCAGACGCATCCACCTCAACTTGGAACGCCAAAGAGGGGTCCGGATGTGCCAGCACCGGAACCGTGGTGAACAGGTCCTTCAGATGTCTAAACGCCCTGTCCGCCTCAGCCGACCACTGCAAACGCACCGGGCCCCCCTTTAGCAGGGAGGTGATGGGAGCTGCTACCTGTCCAAAACCCCGGATAAACCTCCGGTAGTAATTGGCAAAACCCAAAAACCGCTGCACCTCCTTAACCGTGGTGGGAGTCTGCCAATTACGCATGGCTGAAACGCGGTCAATCTCCATCTCCACCCCTGACGCTGACAACCGATGTCCCAGGAAGGAGATGGACTCCTGGAAAAACAGGCATTTCTCCGCCTTCACATACAAGTCATGCTCCAACAGTCTACCCAACACCCGACGCACCAGGGACACATGCTTGGCTCATGTAGTGGAGTATATTAGAATGTCATCAATATACACCACTACACCCTGTCCATGCAAATCCCGGAAAATCTCATCCACAAATGATTGGAAGACTGAAGGAGCATTCATTAAACCGTATGGCATGACGAGATACTCATAGTGACCCGAGGTGGTACTAAATGCTGTTTTCCATTCATCTCCCTCCCTAATGCGCACCAGGTTGTAAGCGCTCCTGAGATCCAATTTTGTGAAGAATCGCGCCCCGTGTAATGACTCCGTCATACTCGCAATCAGAGGGAGAGGATAGCTGTATTTAATGGTAATCTGATTGAGACCACGGTAATCAATACACGGGCGCAAACCCACATCTTTCTTCTTCACAAAAAAGAAACTCGAGGACGCAGGAGAAGTGGATGGCCATATGTATCCCTGTCCCAGAGATTCGGTGACGTATGTCTCCATAGCTGCCGTCTCCTCCTGAGACAGAGGATACACATGACTACGAGGAAGTGCAGCGCCTGCCTGGATGTCTATCGCACAATCCCCCTGTCTATGAGGTGGTAATTGAGTCGCCCTCTTCTTACTGAAGACGAGTGCCAAATCTGTATACTCAGGAGGAATGTGCATTGCGGGCATTTGGTTCGGACTTTCCACCGTCGTTGCCCCTACGGAAACACCTATACACCGCCCGACACACTGATCAGACCATTCCCTGAGAGCCCTCTGTTGCCATGAAATGTTGGGGTCATGAGATATTAACCAAGGAAGCCCCAACACCACGGGAAACGCAGGAGAGTCAATCAAATACAACTGTATAATCTCCTCATGACCCCCCTGCGTCTTCATCTTAAGTGGCGCTGTGACCTCCCTAATCAATCCCGACCCCAAAGGGCGGCTGTCTAGGGCATGGATGGGGAAGGGCACATCAACTGGTATAACGGGAATCCCTAACTTATACGAGAAACAGCGATCGATAAAATTCCCAGCTGCGCCTGAATCGACTAGCGCCTTATGCTGGGAGTGAGAAGAAACCTCGGGAAACACAACTTTAATACACATGTGTACAACAGAGAGCTCTGGGTGAGTTGGGCGCTTACTCACCTGGAATGACTCATCAGTGCGTGGCCTGCTGCCTCGATCCCTAGGAGACCCTCCCCAGCACCGAACCGCAGTGTGTCCTTTGTGGCCACAGTTGGTGCAGGGGACGGCCTCTCTCCTGGTCTCTCTCCTCTTCTCTCTAGCACCAGCACCCCCAAGCTCCATAGGGCTCGGCTCGGAGGTGCTGGGGGATGGAATGGACGGCCCCAACTCCGGACGTCCGCGGGTAGCCAACAGGGTATCCAGACGAATCGACATGTCCACCAGCTGATCGAAACTTAGGTTGGTGTCCCTGCAGGCCAACTCTCGGCGAACGTCCTCCATTAGGCTGCACCTGTAGTGGTCGATGAGGTCCCTCTCATTCCATCCCG